GCACACACAGCATTTATAAATGTCATGGGCGGCCAACATGGTCGTATAAAAGCTTCTCAGACGGATTATTGCAGACATATAACTCACCTTAATTGGCAAACCTCATTCCACTAACTGGGAATATTCACCTAAATAAGGCTCTAAAATGTCTGACGTGGTGCTGCTAATTATGCAGCTCATTTCAGTAAAAATTTAAATGTGTCCTCGTCCCTTCCAGCAGGTTGTAAATGTTGAAGTTTCAAAATCCAGGTGAAGTTTTGAAGCAGAGTTCCCAGCAGAACACGCAGGGAGTTTTGGGGCAATATTTGTAAAAAAAAACAAAAAAACAAACATGTGAACGTGACATCATACACGTCATCTAAAGGGGGATAAACGCAAGAGCTCAGATGCTCTGCTTCATAAGAGGCAAAATGAAAATAAAATCTAATGAAGGCGAGAAAAATGTTTGTAGCTTTTGTAGAGTTTCACAACACTGAGGCTGTTACAGTGTTACACCTCTGACTGACCACATGAGGTATAAATAAGCTCATCATCGGCATAACGTTCTTTTTTGCCATCAAATCAAACTAACAGATTTTTTTAAACCACACGATCCACTCATGTGACTCCAATAATTGACTCTTTTTCTATCAGAGAATGTTTTTCAATTTGCTTTTCAGACTCCTGGCCTATCAGCCCTGCGAAAAACAAAAGGACAAATAAGAGGATATTTTGTGAGGCTCTGACATTGTTTCCACCATGTGTATCATTTAAGGCAGTAATTTATAATTTATTTGATCTATATCATGAAATAGTTAATCTCCCCCAAGGCCGACACTGAGTTGATCATGTTTTTTGGGGTCGGGGCGTTTGCCTAAAGGTCAACATCTTTAGGTTGTGTTAGTGCCAACCACTAAGTCAAAGGACAACAAAGTGGAAATATATATATATATATATATATATATATATTCTACCAGTCGCTCCTCGTGACCTTTCATTTATCTGGATAAATATTTTTATTTATTTACGCTGGAAATTCATACGTTTTCTACCTTTAAAGTCTGCGACAGTTAAAGGAAAGTGTGTTTCTTGGCTTTGTTGCAGAAATGCATTTTTCCAAAAATACTTGCTTGTTTACCAGCTTGTCCAGAACTGTTGTTGTTTGATCTTACTGTATGCTGCCATTGATCTTTTAATGCATCTAATGCCAAGGGAGCGGGGGGGAAATGTATACCCCAAGGGTAGGTGAAAATAGCAAGTACGACTCTCCTCTGCTGTCTCCCAGAGATCGCCCAGCGCCTCTCTGCTTACTCTCCTCTACTGAAGGTAATGAATTCAACGCTGCTTTCAAAAAAAAAAAAAGAAAAAAAAAAAAAAACTGGGCCGTTCTAACAGACTTTGCTACTCGCTTGAACTTAAATACGTTGGGGGAAATTTGAATATTGAACGTAAGCGGGAGAGAACAGAGGGCGGCCTCCGAGGACCGCGACTACTCTCCCTCTGTGTTGTGCTAATGAGCACCTTTGTACAAACTGTAGCTTTTTTAAATCCATGCTAATAGGAGGCCTGTACTTTGTGTGGCTCTCCGCCGGTGGTCGCCTCTCTGAACCTGGCAGCAGCGTGTGGCGGCCAAACATTGTGATGCTCTCCTGTCTCACAGGTAGCCACCGCGCCACTGCACCGCCACCGCCGACACAACGTGGAGCAAACTCCGCCGCCCGCCACGACAAAAATACTTGCTTGTTTACCAGCTTGTCCAGAACTGTTGTTGTTTGATCTTACTGTATGCTGCCATTGATCTTTTAATGCATCTAATGCCAAGGGAGCGGGGGGGAAATGTATACCCCAAGGGTAGGTGAAAATAGCAAGTACGACTCTCCTCTGCTGTCTCCCAGAGATCGCCCAGCGCCTCTCTGCTTACTCTCCTCTACTGAAGGTAATGAATTCAACGCTGCTTTCAACAAAAAAAAAAGAAAAAAAAAAAAAACTGGGCCGTTCTAACAGACTTTGCTACTCGCTTGAACTTAAATACGTTGGGGGAAATTTGAATATTGAACGTAAGCGGGAGAGAACAGAGGGCGGCCTCCGAGGACCGCGACTACTCTCCCTCTGTGTTGTGCTAATGAGCACCTTTGTACAAACTGTAGCTTTTTTAAATCCATGCTAATAGGAGGCCTGTACTTTGTGTGGCTCTCCGCCGGTGGTCGCCTCTCTGAACCTGGCAGCAGCGTGTGGCGGCCAAACATTGTGATGCTCTCCTGTCTCACAGGTAGCCACTGCGCCGCTGCACCACCACCGCCGACACAAAGTGGAGCAAACTCCGCCGCCAGCCACGACAGGCCTCACCTGACCGCTCTCCCTGTGTTTCCCTGCTGCGAAACGTGGAAATCTCCAGAGAGGACGTAATTGCTGGATTATGTGGAGGCAGGTGGCCCGCGGGCCGCATGTGGGAAGATGGAGGCGGAGGCCGGGCCTCGAGTCAAGCTAGGATCCTCTTGAAGCTGCGGTCGTCGTCTGACTGGATGATGGAGTGCTTAACAAGGCTTGATTGCATTTACATTTGTCTCGACATGCTGATTGGTAGACTGATGACGTGCTTTGTACCTTCTGGTCGTTATGTCAGTAGCGGGAGGGTTGGAACTCTTTTTTTTTTTTTTTTTTTTTACTCGTAGGCACAAAACACTTTTTAAATTGTCGCTGTACTTTTGTGCGCTTGTGTTCAGTGACGCAGTTCTTCATGGTTCCCCTAGAAGAAGGACTCAGTTTGTGCTGAAGAGTGTGAACCAGACGCTCTCGCCGTCGCAACAACGTCTGGAGCTGAGGCGTTACCGGCCGACTGTGGTCCTTCTCTCTGGTGATCTCTGGGAAACGAGCTGGTGGCTGTAGAGAAGAGAAAATGTTGTTGAGAAATAAATAAATAAATATATATTTACATATACAGTATATATATATTGAGTCACTTGTTTGTCCCACAAATTCACTGTGTTCTCTGTTACAATGCACACAGGCTGCCACAGGTGGCGCCAATAAGTAGAGAAGAAAAAACGTTGAGAAAAAAACACATTAAGATGCTTAAGAAAAAAAAACTCGAATTATTTCTTAAATCCCAAATCTAATCTCGGTTTATACTGTGAGCTGTATTTATTTAATTTGAATATATATGTATATATATACACATATATGTAGCTATATGTGTATATACACACATATATACATATAAAACATATATATATTTTGAGATATATATTGAGTCACTTGTTGGTCCCACAAATTCACTGTGTGAGTCCTTGCAATGCACACAGGCTACCACAGGTGGCGCCATCAAGTATGTGGTTCTTCTGGGGCTTGAACCCAAGACCTTCTGTGTGTATAAAAGTGCTACATTATGGAACCACCGTAAAAAAGCACTTAGTGAGTTGTTACATAATAAAGGATTAGGATTTTCTTGGTAATAATTTCATCATCTACGAATATCAGAGAAGAAGAAAAAAAAAACATTCAGTAAATGATACTTTTTTCCCCACCGTGTTAATAAAGCCACTCTACGTACGATGGTTGAAACTTTTCTGATAGATTAAATATTAATGAGGTTTTGGCCAAGTGAGCCAAATCCAATTTAGCTCCATATAACTTGTGGACATGGTCATTAAAGGGCCAATCTGTGCTGCTCTTGCGGCTCAAGTCCCTCTCTCACAGTTCTATGCGGTTTTAAACTCCATTCATCACACGCCGCCGTCTCACTCAACTCCTTCCGTGTCAGAGTTCCTCTTCTCCCCTCGCTCTCACTCACCTTAAAAGATCTTCGTCTCTACAATACCTTAACAAAGGAGCAGGGCCGATCGGACCAGGCCCGGTGGAAGACTTAACCTCAAACAACTGCACTCCCTAAAATGCTTTTTTTCCTGCTTTGATTAACTTGTGCTGATAAATAAATCTACCCTTATCTTTCCCCTCCCCCCCCCCTCCCCCCTCCCACCCCCTCTCACCATCANNNNTTGCAAGGCAGTCCCAGGCCCGGAGCAGAGGACAAGGAAACTAGAAGTGACATTGTGGCTGTGGGCTGTCTCACAGGATTAAGCATTACAGCGTTCACTGGCATGTGCTTTTGCTCCTTTCCATTATATCTGCTTGTGCCTCTTTCCAGATGACTTCTTCCCCAAACTGATCCAGCGGGCAAGATAATTGATTAATATTTCTGGAGGGAAGGATGACTAACGGTTGCTCAGGTTGAACCCAAACACTCCGGTTAAACACAACGGCCAACAATGGGTTTTTCATTTTGTCAAAAAGAAATGACTGGGAAGGTTTTTTTGTGTGTCAACATGCAGAGGTCAAACTTCCACTCGTTACAACAGTGGAAATGCCAAAATTTTGCGATTGAGAAAACAGACATTTCGGCAAAAAAAAAATTAACCTTTCAATTTCAAAATCTAAAGACCATATAAGAAAGCTATGAAGCTACAGAAAATACATCTGAGGAAAGTCTTGATTACAGAGGCATCGTCTGTAAACATGTCTTTAATCCTCGCGTTATTTACCATCCATTTTCCTTTAAACAGGACTGGTAGTTACCACGTTGACATTGGTTTCTGTTGAAGGAGCGGTGACTGGAATAATCTGACAAAAACAATATTTAAGGATTCTACACCATGTAACCCGGTGGTTCTTAAAGTAAGGGGCGCAGCAAACAGGAGGACATTTCCGAGGCTCAGGTGGTGATGGCACAACTGCACTTTTATTTTCTCTTTTTGAATGTTTGTGTTATTTAATGTTATTGATTTTGATTCATTATAAAACAGGACGTTACTTGGTGTTAGTTCAATAAATTTGAAATGTCATTTGTCGAGATTTTTGTTGGGACGATGAAAGCAGGTGGGGCTTGAAAATCACACTGCTGAAACCTAAGGTTAAGAACACAAAGCCTATTCATTTTTTCATGTACTGACCATGTTAACAAGTTTAATTCTAATGTTCCATCTGGTCAAATGTAGTTAAATTTATACAGAAATTCTAGAGACAAAGCAACTTATGCTCAAAACCAGAAGATAAAAATACAGTTTTCAAAACGTTGGGGTTTTTAAGATCCACAAATACTGTCAGATAACTATGAAATTAATTACATTTTTTTTTTAAATGCTAAGCTTAAGGAGCAACTGCTCTTGAGTGTCAGGGGGCAGTAATGAGTTTGACTTCAACAAACATAAACCTCAGATCACTATCAGTCCGTACAAGTAGGTTGTTTTTTTTTTAAACTAATTAAATTAGTGTTCATGTTTCATCGCACTTGTAATTATATTTTGTGCGTGTTAAGAGGATAAAGGTTTCACAGCCTGTCCCTTCAGTACAGGGTTTGTTACAGTTGGGTTGCCTTGACAAACAACTGGGCCGACGGTAAAAGTAGGACAAGACCATTTATGTCGGCCCAAATGTTCTGTTTTACTGACAGTATGAGGTGATCTTGAGCAACAACAATATGTGTTGAAAATCACAGAGTGCCCCTTTAATAGAGTTCTCTCTTTGGTGCAAATCCTACGATGTGATTACGGTGGTAGGCTGAGATAATCCTCATAATCGGTACTGAGAAAAAAAGAAAGGAAAAAAAAAAGGACACTGTAATTCCATGGACATTAGTGTCCCCTACTGACTGTGGGTTATACTGTAGGTAAATAATCACATTATTACTGCGGCGTGGCATTACAGCTCGGTTAATTCAGACTTTATTATCCTTGTACATTGGTACGTG